CCCCAAAACCCCAAAACCCCAAAACCCCAAAACCCCAAGTGTTAGAATCGTTGGCAAATCAAAGCAAATATGAAATTAAATTAATGAATTCAAAAGCAAACATCATATTCATTACTCCATATTTAGAAAATTCACTTCATACTATAGTCTATATTAATAACTTAATCTATTGTCTTATAGATAATTTCTCTAACTATTCTATTCTCATTATTGCCTTTAAGCTTCAATCTAAGCCATTTTGTCTTTGTAGAGTTTGCTTTTTTACAGTTTATGGATCTATTCCTGAGTGTATAGGTACTTCTGCTTCTCATATTCATAGCTCGAGATCTTCTTAGCATATTAGATTTACCTTGGCTCAGCTGAGTAATCGCCCGTAGATATTGCATAGTACCTGGTTTTCAGCTAAGTAAGTACAAGGACTAAAAGAACACTCACAAGGACAACGCACAAATTCCTGATATTCAAAATATTTTTGTAGTTCTTCTATGATCCCCTAAAAGTATATTTATTCCACTTATTTATTACTTCTCCTATTCTGAAAATTCTCTTTCCATTTTCTGTGCTTGCAATGTCATCGCTACCAAGCATAAAATTAGGAGCTTAATTAGGCGAATTGTGTTCATGTTTTAAAGAAGCATTCAAGTGTTAAATGTTCGTTGAATATATAATTAGTTTATTGATAAATTATAAAACTAATTACTTATTATAATTATTAAATTTGCCTAATAGGGTGACTCAAAAAGTAATACACATTTTTTGTAAAAACTAATCATGCAATCAGCTCAACAAGAATAAAAGGCCCAGCCTTAGATATAATAACAATAATAACAACAGCCAGGAGCTTCAACAACAGGAGGCGCCCAAACTTAGGCTCAATTAGATCCAAAGGCTAAACCTTAGGGAGCAACACCAACTGGTGAATCAATTCAAACAACACTTCTCCTAGGTTGCAAAGTTCAAGTACTTACCATAGCTCAGGTTAGATACGTTGGTGTACTCAGTGAGATTGATTCTACTGCAAAGGCAATGACTCTCATTAATGTGAAGAGTTTTGGAAGCGAGGGAAGAAGAAATGGACAGAATGAGATTCCACCTGCAGATGCCGAAATTTAAGAAGCTAGATTCAAAGTTGACCACATTAAGCTTTTTACAGTAATTGAAAAACCCAACCCAACACTCCTTGATCCAGCTATCATTTCAAGTGTAACAAAGAAATAAGAAGCTCCAACTTAATAGAAGCAAGAGCCCACGACAGATGAGAGCAAGCCTAAATAGGTATCAGAGTAATCAGAAGCAAAGGAGACTCCTGTTGGGGGAAATTGGAGAAATTTGTAGAATGCCCAAAACTAACAATAACCTTAGCAATAATAGAATTATTAACAGCAGTAATATCACTAATAATATCAGCAGAGACAGTATCAGAACAATAATTATTAAGAGAGAGATTATAACGATAACAGAGGTGGCTACCAAGGAAGAGGTGGTAGAGGAGGAGACGGCGGCTATGGTCGTGGAGGCTATGGCGGAAGAGGCGGCCAAGGTGGAAGAGGAGGCCAAGGTGGATAAGGCGGTGGAAATGGCTACTACCAATAAAAAAGATAAATTGGTGAACTCTAGCAAAATCCAAATGAGAGTTTAAAGGAGCAACTCAAGGAGACTTTTGACTTTAATTAGCATTAGTTGAAGGAGTAAGAATCAGAGGAAAAAAAAGCTCAAGCTGTAGAAACAAATTCAAACGACCAATCATAATCATCTATTTCGCAGTCAGATCAAAAGCCAAAGTATGATAAAACTGCTGGTTTCTTTGATCAAATTTCTAATTCAACCTAAAAGAAAAACGATCCAAATGAGCCAAGAGCAGATTTCAGAAAGAAAGATGCAGAGACATTCGGACTAACTACCTCGAACAACTTCTAGTACGAAAATAGAGGTGGAAGAGGAGGCCGCGGAGGAAGAGGCGGTAGAGGCAGAGGTGGCTACGATGGTGGCAGAGGAGGCTACGATGGTGGCAGAGGCGGCTATTAAGGTAACAGAGGAGGCTATGAAGGCAACAGAGGCGGCTATGATGGTGGCAGAGGTGGCTATTAAGATAGCAGAGGCGGCTATTAAGATAGCAGAGTTGGCTAAGAAGGCGACAGAGGTGGCTATGAAGGCGGCAGAGGTAGCCATGATGGTGGAAGAGGAGGTCGCGGTGGCTATCAAAGTTATGATGGAGGCTACTAAGGTAATAGAGGATATAACTAAGGTGGAAGAGGTGGCCGTGGAGGCTATGAAAATCGCTATCAAAGTTTTTAAAATGAAGATTAATAGCAAGATGAAGGCTTCCCTAACATGAAAGCTGGTGGTAGAGGTGGATATCAACCTAGAGGTAGTTATAGAGGAAGAGGCGGCTTTCCAAATAGTAGAGGAGGAGCTCAATAAGAATCTGATTTTTGAATGAAATTCTTAGTCCCTTAGATGAAATGAAATCAACTGCAGCTTTGCAAAAATTTCATTCTGTATCTACTCCCCTCAAATTTAGGTTTTGATTTATAAGGAAAGAATAGTGAACTTGATGAGACAACTTTTCACGCATTTTCTTCTGCTATTATAAAATATCTTTTTGTTTATTTGGCAGAGAGAGTGCTTAGTTGACTCGTCTCTCACACTGATATATATTAATTCCATCAATAAATTAAAACCTAAGTATAAATAAATATCCAAGTTTTTGCAAATTCTAATCTCAGAGGGTTTTGGGGTTTTGGGGTTTTGGGG